GGGGGGGGGGGGGGTGAGTTTCCGCTGAAGTGGCTCAGGCGAAAGCTCTCCGTGAGAAACAAAACCACTCGCTTGCAAGACCCTTCCTTGAAGCTGAAAATTATTTGAAACTTATAACAACTGGAGCCCAAATTTTTCCAACAGCCGATCTTTTGACTTTTTTTGAACCAAATCTAAGTGGACGTTGGGATTATAGGCAGACTGACCACAGGACGAAAGAAAATTGGTAAAAGCAATGAGAAAATTGCTTATTGCATAGTTAGAGGATCTTACTGTATGAATTACAAAAAAGAAAGAAAAAAAAGAGGAAAAAATATTCAAATTTTGAACACCTTTGCGTTGCAGAAAAAATTCAGGAATCCGATGTTTTGGTTGCCAAAATTAGAAATTTTCTTCCGCTATTCACATAGTTATCCAGCTAGAAGAAGTGACCACTCTACAGTACTATGATTTTTTGCTTTTGCTGCACCTTTTTTTTTACAATTTTCTCAAAGTGTTATAATTTCCTTAAGGTTTTGACTGATGTGGTTGCTAAAATCCACAAAACCGGAGAACCAAAGGAGCTCCAGCAGCGGTTTGGCACCAGACAAAATGCTAATGAAGAAAGCAGAAGTGGTGCCGAATGAGGAACAACTGCTGATCGCAGAATCATCTCGAATTTTGGCACTTTTTGGTGTGGCACTAGCAACAGCATCAGCGGTGACTATTGGATTATTGGTACCAATGCTTTATGGATATGCGCAACAGAAATATTCATTGCTACAACCGGAAATTGACTATTGCTTATACCAGTCCCGATTACTGTGGGATCAACTGGATGAGGTTAGCTAGCTTCCGTCAATACTGACGTGTTTCGGATTTTCACTTCTTTCGGGAACTTGAGGGGTGAGGATTAGTATATTCTGTTTCTTAAACCCTCTTTCTTTTTTCTCTTTTTTTTTCCATTTTCTCCTTTGTCTACTCTCTACTCTGGTCCTGTGCAATCAGACACACGTTCATCATAAACAGCGATAGAG